TTCGCTGCTGCTTTCTTAAGATTTCCCCTTTTTGTCGATGAAAATTCTTGGCACCTCCATTTCCGTTTACTTAACCCACCCATCACTCAAAGAAAATCGAAATCGCACCTTCAAAAGTCTTTCTTTTAATGAATAAGCACCACTCTTCCTTATTCGTTTTCTAATATCATTCAGTATTTTTTGTAAAAGTTGTTTTTTAACCTAAAATTTAAAAGGTTTTTAATGAAAAAACATTTTCATCTTGTCCACAATTCATTCATGCATGAAAATACTTGTTTAGGGGATCCTAATTACCAATAAACAAAGAAGAAATTCCCATATTAATTATATATATATATATATATATATATATATATATATATATAAAATTGTCACAACAATCTTTGTCGCTTATCTCTTATTTTGTCATCAAACTAATACAAAGCGAATACAATTATTATTCTTAAAGCTTAAAAACATTTTACTTTATATTGTTACTACATTACTTACTACATATTGTTGATTGAATTTCATTGCAATAAGTTACTGCCACAAAAAGGAAAATGTTTGGTGTCCGGTGCTGCCCCCCAAAGGACTGTTCCATCTAATTTAAAATGTCTTGTCGCCTTACACAAGTTGGACTCAAAGAAATTTTTTCTTCAGATTGCTTCCAGAAACTCAGACACACAATTTTGAACATTAAAAATGAATGAGGCAAAGTTGCAGAGTAAGACAAAGACAAATGTTAAAAGAATATTGAAAATAATATTAATAATAATTATTATAATAATAGTAACAATTGCCATTTTTAGTAATGGCATAAGCAAGATGATAAAGTATTTTTAAATGACGTTTACCATGAAAAAATAATATTTCAAAGAAAATTAGGTTTCAGTGGTTAAATTTTTTTCCTCTATGAACACAGCAATACAATTTAAACTTTCCTTTTAGAGCTGATTAACTTACCACAATCTTAATTTCTTTCTAAATGGATGTTCTAACCTTTCTTTTTCACGAGAACAAATTTCCTTCCTTCCTCCGAGCTCTGAATGGGCCAGGCTCCTTAACCAATTCTCCCAATTCTAGAACAGCGGAACAAAATCCTCCGGAACCTGCCCTCAACGTGGCTATATTCTCCAACGACGATCTTGCGATACATATCTCGCCGGTTTTTCACATTTGTCTCTTTTGTAGGGTTTACTATGTCAGATTTGCAGTCTCTAACGCAGCATCTTCCTCTACCTTCATTAGCCTTACATTTAGACATACATATCACAACCACTTCCTTGATCACCAACTCCATCCCGCCATTTCAATCTTCCCCGATCCTGCATCGAATCTTGCTTTTAAATGTAAGATCACATCAAAGTTACGTCATTAGCGACCACTACACATTAACGATATGGTTAACAGTATGATGTGATGTGGCGATGGTTAGGGGTGAAAGGTCGAACACTAATACAACCAGACGGGACTCGGCACCGCGATCCTTCAGTCCGAGATCGCTGCGGGACTACTGCCTTAACGATCTTGGCCATCAGGACAGCTACTCGAATCTTCTATCACCATTTTCATAACTTTTAGCACGAGAATTGCCCCCTATTAATCCAGTACCACCTTCATTCTCCTCGTTTACTTCTTTCTCCAATCTCCATTTCGCTACCTCCTACACAATTTTAACAGTCCACTCTATCATTCACTAAAATTGATTTGTTTTCTTGTATTTTCGCCACCGCCTCTTGTTTTTTTATCCCATCTCTCAGCCCGCCCACCCACATACACAATCACGAAAATCGCGCAACCAGAAAACGTCTTCCGTTTAATGAACAACACGCCACTTCCAGTTCATTCACTTACATCTCGCTGCTCTCGACACACTTCTCTTATTTTTTTGCCCGGCGTGCCCGAGAGCGAAAGAGGAACACAAGCGGAAGAAAGAGACACTTCGTGCCGACTCCGCCGCCTGGATTGAAAAATTGGATGCATCTGTTTTCGTTTCACTCGGCGGAAATATGGCCCGTTTTTTCTTTTGCATGTAGAGTCGCGTCTTTTCGCAACTCACCGAGACGCCCAGTTCCGAGAATTCACTTGACGCTGAGGCGCGTGGTGTTGAATCAGAACTTCTGGGCCGCGGCAATTCCCTTAATGATTCCAGACCGCCCCACTGTGGGACGAAACCTCTGAAAACTGGCCAAAATAAACTTTTTTTTTACTTTATACTTCGACGTATCGAAATATTTGTGTTATAGATATGCCCGATTTTCTCTCAATACACTATCAAAATATTTTTTTATTCATAAATTCTCTGAACATTAATTGATATTTTAGAATGTTCCCGTAGGGATAACATTAGACGATGGTGTGAAAGAATGGGCGTTAATATTTGAATGAAATTACTATTCCTAAAAAAATAAATATCACGAATTTCTATATTGAACAAATCAAATTCTATTAATTAATGATGCACATGAGCAGTATAATTGAAGGACAGAACTAGAACTATTGTACTTCCATTCCAGATTTCCACCACGTTAAAGCTCTTTTATCTTTTTGTGCACTAATAACACTGTTTTAATTACAGTTTATTTTATCAATGCATGCAAGCTCTTCCCGGTTGTTTCTGGTTCACATACCACGTAAGCTTCTTCCTCGCAGTATCGTAGCTTCAGCGCCCAATTGAATTTCTCGATGTTTCTTTCAGAAATACAATTTTAATTAAATTCTCCTCTTACTATTAAAATATTTGACTGTACAAAACTCAGACAAAAACCTCCTCTCTGGAACTGTTATCTTCCTTGCAAAGTCTCCTATATCTGTCCATTTATATTTTCACGTCGACCATTGTCCATCGCGTTTGCACATAAATAATACTCAATGTAAATGAACATATAATGGGATAATATCACATAATATATTATATTACAGTACAATGTGGTATTTTCTGATTTTTTAAATTCAAATTGTAGTTTTTCGGCATGTTTTTTGAACTGTAAGCCAGCTTCATCTATGTCTTCAGTTACATTACACATGGTATACAGACTCGTTATACAGTAATGATCCGGTAATTTTTTGATATCATAAAGCCATCTTTTCTGAAGCCTTCTTACACTCTTGTTGTGCTTCCACGGTCTTGAATAAGCAATCCTAGTTGTTCAAATTTTCTCTACTCATGAATTCAATTCACTTTTAATTCTGTCTTGGCAACTGATTCCACGTCATTTGTATCTATCTCCTACGTCATATTTCATGGGGTGGGTCGTTGTTTCCAAGGATGGTACCTCGAAACAATCTCCTCGTGGATAGAAATTTTATTTTTATACTTTTTTTAGTGTTCCTATACCATGCCCCTCAGACTGTCGGTCAGATTTGCTTTCTGTCAACCACACGAAAGATCTGAGATGGACGTCATGGGAAGGGATACACCGTTTAAAGCCGACGTTGCCTTTTATTGAAAGGTCGAAATTGGTGATACATAAAATATACCTATCTATCGCAATGCCAATTTTTCTTCGTAGCCGGCTCAAGAAGAGAAGTAAAAAATTAATTAAGCGGTTAATCGAAGTCTTTCACATTATAATAAACAGTGGGGTGAAAGATGCGCTTTACGCACATATATATAGAACACCTCTTATTTAAGAGATTTACAAGGACAAGTAATAAATATCCTAGGATCCTCTGAACATCAACGTCATTTGCAATAATAATTATTACCTATAATTAAAAATGAAGGGAAGAGAATCACCATTATCGTCAACAAAAGAGCGAAAACCAGCGTCGATAACAGAAAATAACTTCACGCGAAGGAAACCAAAGAAAAGGATGAAATATGCAAAACGTGTTATTCAGAAAAGGATTCATAGCCGATTATTCAAATGTGTGTTCCTTAAACGACCCATTATTCTTCATAAAATCCTTATTGTGAATTGAGCAATTGACTATCGATTCTTATATGGGAATTGTTTCGTAGGTATTCGTAGGTATCACTCATCCTCTTTCTAACCAGTTTGAGTACTGTTCCCTAGTGACGTTATGAAAACGGTTCAATAACATCGATTTTTTTCGTTTATTTTACCTTTTTAAATCCAGCTTGGCCTCGATTCAGCACATCTTGTAACGAATAATCCAGCAGAAACAACAATGAAAAATCAACGTGTAATTATGGAAAATGGGTGAATAATTCATTCGACGATTTTCTTCAGTTGGGTACATCTCGGGAGTTGCAGAAAAAAAACAACTAAATAATTTCGGGCCCTGGTCGTGAGTGGCTGTCACGTCGCCTTCAAAGGAAAGTGCTAATGTCGCTTTGGCCGAACGAACTTTTTGCGCTCTCGGCGTACCGCACGGCGTGCATCGCGACGACGTGTTGTTGATTTGATTTGTTAGTGAATCCGGAAGGCTCAACTACTAAGGTCATTAGTCCTACATGTGTAGTGCATGGTTAGCGCGGGAGGCGGTGGTGATGGTGATCTTCCCTCTGTTTGTTGGCGAGATCCGGCATCGACCTAAGTCGACTGGCTAGAATTTATCCCACCAGTAGCCCAGGAGTTTTTCCAACCAGGTTTCTCCCACCAGTGTGACATCGCCCCACCTGGAACAAGCTCTAAGCTCCTGGCTGCCATCACGACATGTGTGATAGTCTAGTGCATGTGAGTGGAAGTGTATGTAAGTAAGGGGTGAGGATAGGACAAGGAAGAGAAAGGAAAGATCGCGCGCAGCCCGTGGCTGAACCAGACCCGTGGCCAGACAGCGACTGAACCAGACCTAGCTGTGTAGCTAGTATCCAAAATCCTACCATTGTCGAGCCTCGAAACTTAAAACCTCCCGCTCAGAGACACTTGGAGTGACATCAGTTGTTGCCCTGAGCCACCACATTGCTGGTCGTGCGGCGTGGACAAACGGGTGGCAAAAACGGGCCAGCGGCGGCGCGAGTGCCGAAGCAACCGCTGAAGCCAATGCTTTGGGCGCCGTAAGAGGCGGAGACACCACGCCGGACGCTTTGCGATTTGTCGCCTGTCGCAGTGATGCAGTGGGCGACGAATGCTGGGCGACACAAGTGTGTGGAGGGGGCCATTAAAAATACGTTCGCTTTGAGGGAAAGTTTTTTTTCACAACTGACGGAAACGATCAAGGGGGAAGGTGTAGATAAAGAATGAACATTTTAACTGTATTTTTCGTGTTTGATAGTGTTTTGTGTTAAAATGGTTTGCTAAAGGCAAACCACTAATAAATTTTGATAGACCCATGAACACTAATGCCGTTTATTATTTAACATTGCGTAATTAAATGTAAATAAGTTTTCTCCAAGTACTTATAGATACGTTTTCATTTGAGCGATAATTAAAATAAATTAGTATGACAAATTACATTCTATTTTGACTCTGAAGCTTTTTTAATCGCAATGCCAAAGCTGACTTAAAATCTATGCATTGATTCTAAAAGTGTCATCTACTTGGTACAGGTTCGTATGCAATATTTTACGTATCACAGAAGAGCAATTCATTTAAAATTCAAACAGATAGATTTGAATTCGCGAGATGAATAATTGAAATACGTCAACACAGCAAATTATATTTTATTTTTCTTCCGGTACTTCTGTACAGGAAGGCTTAAACTAAATTGAAATATACGTATTGGCCCTTAAAGATTCCTCTACGTGGCACGGTTTCGCGTAAAACAGTATTTTAAGAAACACTACCCGGAATTTCTTACAAATACGTAAATATTTTTTTGTATTTGAGAAACGAGTAGTAGAAATTCATAAGTAAGGCAAACAACATTTTATTAGCCTATCCGGTGGCCGAGATCGCTAAGGCAGTAGTGCCGTAGCGAACTCGGACCGAATGATCGCGGGTTCGAGTTCCGCCTCGGGCATGGTTGTATTGTGTTTCGTCCTTTCACCCCCTATCATCATCATTATCGTGTTAACCCACAGTTACCATACCGTTACAAGCAATAGTGGTCGCTAATGACCTAGTAGTTGATGCGACCTTAAATAACAAAAAAAAAATAAATTATTTTGCCTCTCATATTTTTTTTTTTTTTGAAATATCTAAAGTGACTCGAAATCTACGCATTGACTATTAAAGTATCGTGTACGTGTCTTCGGTTCGCGTGCTGCAGTATTTCACCGCTGCGTCGGGCAGGGTGCGACAGCAGGAAGCTGCTGAGATCAGCGCTCCTAAAAATGTGAGGGGTCTTCGGTGGATCTTGTAGGTCTTCCCCTGGCGTAGTAAACCATCCCCACCTCGACGCTTAGGAAATGGAAACCACTTCTCACAGAAACGTATTGCACCGCTGAGCCCAACGGTCACCCAGGATATCAACTAATACGCATAAACACATGTCCATAACGAAATTAAACATATTTTTGCAAACCATTTGCCTGTTTCAATTGGTAGCGCTGCGAGGCAAGCCCGCTGATTCTGATGCCACTGGTGGCAACATGGCGACGTCATTATTCCAAAGCAGCTTATTTTAAAATGAAAGAATTGAGGGAAGCTTTACTAATTGCCTGCATAATGAAATTTGCATTCTCGTCTTGTAATGTGAGAGTCTTTACCAATTCATGTTTAATATAAGTCATCACTTCAATCGCAGAGTGAGAATAAAATGAATTCTTTGTTACCAAGGGCAGTAAGTACCAATGATTCGCTGAAAAACGGAAGAAAATTACGAAGAACAAAAGATTTGTGTCGTTTGCTTTGCTGCTGTTTGCTAAAAAAAGAAGCTGTAGAAAAAACAGTGCATAATATTCTCTGTATTTTGCCCATCTTTGGTATATAAGAAGCCACTGTCTATCTTTCCCACTCTTCTTCTCTCTTTTAGGTTTCGACTGTATTTGCACTGTAGTGTATATTTTATACAATTATATTAGCGGAGGGACTGGATTAATCGCGATAACTGCCAACATACTACAATGAGTACGGCGCACTTCATAATTTCACGATAATAAGGCATAGTTAAGGTAAAAGTATATTGACAGTACGCTTTGACAAATAACTTAAGAATGCATTTAGGAAGTACTTTTTATCAAATTTCAATAGATAATCTTTTAATAGATATTCTTTTCTAATTAGTAATGCAATCTAAAATCGTAACCTTTTTCGATATAAACAGATTAATTGAAGTATTTGTTTTAAAAGGATTTTTATAATATTTCAAATATTTGGAGTCTATTAGCAGTAACTGTAAAGATTAAATAAGATTGTAATTCAATATAAAATTAACACCATTTTTTCGTTTCTCGTGATTCACTTTTAATGAGAAAATAAAACGAAATAAATGAATATTGCAAGAAGTTTTGAACATTATCCTTCTTATCAGATTATTTAATAAATACAGATCTAGAAAAAGTGCGACGATGAATAGGGAAAATATTCGCATTTAAACGCAAAAAAAGCAATTTAAAAATGTTTAAATTCTTCTTATCAGTCGCAAGTCGTGACCCTTACTTCGTGACTTTACTCGGACATAAAAAAATAGTTTAGCATACGAGGTATATTCTTTCACCCGTTTTCCGGTTACTACTCACTTCTACGGCCCGCTGTACAATTATTGCAACGGGTGTTTTAACGTGGTCTTTTGTTTAGAAGTGGGGTGAATATGGTTTGACAAGCGTCATGCTTCAACCGGATACTTTTGAACAAATAATTACTGCTAATAAAGCCAGTACGGAAATTTTTCCTATTTCGAACATAGAGCTGAAAGTTACAAATATTGCGCATTTCAGTTTCAAAATATTGAAGCAAGCAATATTAAGTAAGTAGGGAAACAATATTGCAATTAAGAATTGACAGAATTGAGTAAATCGCCATGTCATAGTTTACAATAAGAAATTAGATTTTAGATCGAAAAGCGACCATTTTTATGAACTACAATTATGCATCGCATTAGTGAATACCGTCGTAAAACGTTCTTGTATGTTAAGTCATATTGCTAATAAAATAGCTTTAAACGTCTATATTCATAATGATAATCAGAATAGTTCAAGTTATAGCAATGGATGGTATATGATATTTTGCTACGCACACTACTGTTAAAGCAACATCAGTTTCGGTGTGAGCCTGCCGTGCTGGCAGGCAAGCCGGTTTGCCAATATCTCTCACAGATGGCGCTGAATACCGGAGTGCTGCGGTGGCTCAATCGGTAGAGGTGGAGCGTGCTGAACTTGAGATCGTTGTTTCGAGCCCGATTATACCCCAAAAATTTGTTCATTAGGAAGTTTATCGTTGTTGCACTGAAGATAGGAAGCTGAGGAAATGATAAACGTTTCGTCAGTGCCGTTGTAGGTGCAAGAGTAAAATTGGTTGCAATCACGCTCTAACTCGTCAGTGAGTTCCCGCGTGAGAGTATGCCTGACATTTTTCTTGCGTTCTTTCACACAAAGTGTACATCTTAGGTTTCGATGTAAACGTGGCACGACTAACGTGCAGACATGCAAGGATAATTTCACGTATAAATTACACATCTAGAAGTGAAAGTCATCCAAAATATCGGCTTATGAATGAACGTAATTGTACGTAACTACAGTACCATTACCCAATGTCTATCTTATGCACATGTATTCTGCACACACACACACTCATATATATAATATATAATATATTATGTATATGAGTATAATATGTATAATATATGAGTGTGTGTGTGTGTGCAGAATACATGTGCATAAGATAGACATTAGTTAATGGTACTGTAGTTACGTACAATTACTTACATTCATAAGCCGATATAAAATCTTTCCGACTTTACTACTGTTGAATGTATCATTTTATTGAGGAGATTATAACATTAAATAAAATTGCCCTATCTCCTCCGGCAATGAGACGTGAATTAAAATGCTCTCGTGGAGAAGTTGCGTGTCTTTCAACACTGAATACGTTCTGGGTTCGATTTCCGTAGGATCCTCATTTGAAATTTGTTACAACAAAACGAGTTAGCATGCTTCACAGGGGTTAGTCCAACTCTCGTCCTAAGCCTTACCTTTCTCCTTATTCCTTCCCAATTCTGGCCGATAGGTAGCGCGAGCGCGAAAACGCAACCTATCGGCGATCCCCTGGTTTGACTACCCAGCCGCCCTAGAGGGTGCTGGGTGTAAAATAAAGATTACTCCAAGGTGCGATCAACGCTCTTAGGAGCTAGGAGACGCGTTGCGTAAATAGAAACAACAAATTAAGAAAAAACGTCATTCCGAGAATTTCAAACTGCTATGTCGTATCGTTCCCATTGTTGGCAACGTCTAGTCTAATATTATATTAAATGAATGCTGATAAATAACTGATAATATTGCTAATTAACTAATTAAATTACTAATTATCCTAATAACGTTGTATGATTAACTAACTTTTGAAGATTATAGGGACAGAAGTACGGTAAATTCGAATTTGCTATTTTTAGGATACTTCAATTTTTTAACCTTCACATAATAAAAAAGTAGCATGGATTTTTTATGCGAAATCTGTTGCAATTTTTGTTTAGACGAATATATTTATTTTTATGCAACTTAACCAGATATTTATTTTTTAGTGATGTACAGTTTGGTATATGTAAACTATGGATGGCTACTTGAATTTCCATTAAATTTTCAATGCTGAGGATTAAGGGCGGGAGAATGTATCTATCTAAATTTTCGATCCCGCTAACATAAAAATGTACTTAGAATTCTTAGTATTTATAATGATTTTCCGTTTCTGCAAATGAGGCGAATAAAGAGCATGTAAAAACAGTCAAGTTGGGTTCACATTTTATGAATCAGTATTTTAGTGAAACAAAAATATGTTTCAATTAAATATTTTAATTCGACATTTATCGCTAAACCACATCAAATACGTGTCCTGAAACATTCCTTAAACGTTTGTCTCATATAATAACACTATTCTTCAAAAAGACAGTGCATCGTACAAACGACAATGTTAATGATCGTAACTTCTCTTGATTAACATCGAAAATGTAGTATCCTTCTTCTATAATCACAATATGTTCAAATAGATTTAATCATATGATGTGTACATTGAAAGTTTAACAGTATAATTAAAATGGAAAGTCTACACAGGAATATAAAAGGAAGAAAATTAAAATATTTTTTTTCTATCGTGTTAAACGTAGTTTTATTAACAGCGACAAACAAATTCTTTGAGAACAAATCTGTGAGATTCTTTTCACTGAAAACAAATCCCGAGGAAAAGAAAACAATATAAAATGTGGATATTAAAATTATATATTACTCTTTGTTTCACGCTTTTGCGCTCCTGACAGCGACGCGTATTTTTTTTAGGAACTTGTGGTCAGGAATACATATAAGGTTTTTTGTTATGCAAATGGAATCTTGTGTTTCTGTTACGCGCTGGGTGGCGTACTAAAGGACAAAACATTCATTCTGAAAATGCGGAGCCGGTTGCATTCATGTTGGTTACTGGGAAAAAACAAAACTCAAATTATTATCTCTGTGGCAGAGAATACTAGATAAGAACAAGTACGGGTAAATATTCACAGAAATCAAATTTTGAAACCAATATTTTACTGCCGGGTAGATTAAACTTTTTAAAGATATCCCAGAAAATTAAGCATTGAAAACCCAACGCAAATAATATTATATAAAATGATTGTGACAAACTTAGATGTCACTGTCTGGACGAGAAGTCTAACGGGTAGCTGCTGTGATCGTTCGTTTTGCGTACGTTCTCCGATCAATACCAGGCGAATGCCGGAGCAGTGCCTTAACATTACGCGATCTTTCCTTCCCATTCCTTTTCCTATCCTCACCCCTAGCTTACACACACTTGCCCTACACTACCACATAAGCCTGTAGACGGGTCAGAAGGTTAGCGCGTGTCCCGGCTGTGGCGGTGCCCTGCTGGTGGGAAATATATCGTTGGAGAAAACCCTGCTAGCTGACGGAAGGTCGGCGCCGGATCTCACCACCTAAGACCTCACCACCTCGGCACTGCTCGAGGGGGAAGTGGGCTACACTTACGGGACTAATGACCTCAATCTACTGACGTAGATGGTATCTAAGTGGTCGAAGATTGTCTTTTCTTGTCAATGGACGTGTGGTGGGAAAACGTCATACAAACAAATTACATTCGTGACTTCTTCCTCTGATTGGCAGGCCGCCCAAAATGCACTGGTGTTAGGCAGGTCACGTTCAGGCCCACATATATTTCTTGTATCAGCGAAACATAAATGTGTGATGACTTGACTTCTAACCAGAGGCGGAGAGTACATGATCTTCCTCCCCTCTTCATCCCTTAGAATTTGTATCATTTACGCTTAGTCATTATGTAATTATGTACAGTCATAGAAGTCATTAATTAAATAATCCTCCCAAAATGGCACGTGTTACATTCATCCTGTTTTTCTCAATTGTCTCTATGGAGATAGTATGTCAAATCTATTGTGACATTCTTTTTTAAAATATTTATTTGCTACCTGCTCCATTGCTTTAAATATTTTCAGGGAGTTGAATAGAATAATACACAATCTAGAGGCATAAATGCCTGCATTTATATGTTGGGTAAATAACTACCAATAATTTCATGAAAGTGATGTCACTAACTTTAATTATGTAATTAAAAATATTTATGAAAGACATTAATAGAAATGAAACAAGTTTTAATTTATGAAGGACGAAATATAACTTTAGGAAATCGAGATCGGATTCGAGGATAAGAAAAATAGTTTTGACCTGATGTGAAGTTTCTAAAAATGCGTTAAGTCGATAATTTCTAATCTGGGCTGTTCGGACATCATTTAAGTTGATAATTTGTTAAAGATATTTTTTGTGAAGTTAAGTATAAACGATTTGACAGATTAATTTGAAGTTCACTGTGGATTTGTTTATTGGACATAAACCAGGAGGCATATAAAATGGGATATTAGTTTATTTTACTTCAACTATCGGAGCCACATTATCTGGTGGTGATGTAATTCGTCTTTAATCTTTGGTAACATGAAGGATATCACAGAAATTGAGTGTGTTAATCCTCTTATCCCCCTTCACCGTCTGCTCGGCATGTATGACGAATAGACCTCGGATATTAAGGAAAATGTAACTTAGTTGCTTGAACGGAATGTCAGAAACAATTGTAGATGTCTATAAATCTCGCAGTCTGACTAATTAAACAATTTAGTGGTAAAAATATCATAAGAGCGTGATTGATGTATAATAAATATTTTTTCACAGAACTTAATGAAGCATTTATTGTCGATTTGATTGACAAAAAAGTACTTTGAATTTGTTTCACAAAACCTAGTGTTCCGTGATTCTAGAGACGAATTATTCAACAATAATAGAGACACCTATAGTCTATCATCAACTTTCAACTATCGACATTAATCGGCTGTTTTTGTGATACTTGTTATTTTCGTTATTGCAAGATTGAAGTTTAACATTTTGCTATGTATGAGCCGCACCCGTAAGATTCCTTTGATCGTCAACACAATGAAAATACAATTTTAAGATAAACTTTATTTATTACAATTCATATCCAACATAATTTCCACCAGAACAGACATATTTGTAAAACCGTGGGATCAGCACATGTATGTTTTTATCACAGTTCTATTGCCTTACGTCGTCGTCCTACACACGGCTAGGCTCACAACAGATCTTCTGCAGTAATTCCGTTGGAGGTGTCCATCGACTCTGTTTCTGATCTTGCTGTCCATCGATACCATGATTTCTTACACCTCAAGAAATTCCTTACCCCTGGTATCCTTATTAATGATATAATGCGGAGTAGTAAATGACAGACAAAAACTGGTACCCGTTCTAGGTGTCAGACATCTTCGATACAGGACAAATGTTCATCTCATGGTATGACTTACGTTTCAATTCTGGCGGTGATTACATAAAAAAATAGTGGAAGATGTGCTGCATCTTCTACAATAACATTTTCCCCTGAAATTGGGTTTTCTTTTGGTTTGTGACCTGGGGAATCTTTGTTTTTGGATCCACCTAATATTTGTTCTGTTATATTAATATTTCAACATTCTATCTATTTTTATTTTTGTGGTATTTTTTTAATTGCAGTTTTTGAATATTCTTTGACAAATTTACACACTATTTTTTCCAAGTTTCTACAACAATCACTGGTTATTGAAATTATTTTATTATAATAATATCGTTTTTATTATGTGGCTATAAAAATAGAATCAGAAATTTGCTATAGTGGAACTGTCCCTATTTAGGATATCCTAATAAAACAATAACCATTTGCATTCAGTGACCAAGGTGTGATATTCTTTCAAATTAAAATTTTAAATAACTATTCGCATAAAACTGAATAAAACACTAAAAAATCCGAAAGTCATTTCAGAACTGAAAAAGATTTTCAGCCACAAACGCGACATATAACCGTAAAATATGTGGGGTGAGTGAATGGCAGATAGTGTTGCTAAAGACAAAAACTAATAACACAAGATGCTTACAGTATATTCATTCTCATAACAAACTACGTACTTTTCTGCATAAATAAAAACGTAAACATATGCTTCATGAATCTATGATGATTTTTTTATACAAAGCACGTATATTTCCTGCTAAAGACAATAACATCTTATATTCTAATTTTGTAACTCGTTACATTCTTGGCTATCCGGGATGAGCCAAGAATGTATCGACTCCGGTCGCGGAAGCCTGTATGTATCTCGTCGCCCGGACGGTCGAGATAGCCAAGGCAGTAGTTTCGTAGCGATCTCTGACTGAAGGATGGCGGGTTCGCGCGATAGTGTCATTATATATAATATGACGCTAATGACCTATGCGACCCTCTATTTAAAATAACAATAACAATACTTTTGTAATTCTTTGAAGATGCCCCAAAATTGATTTTTGTGAAACGAGGGAAAATGACCCTGGTGTTGTCCGTGCGCAGGAGCTGGAGCTGCGCATCGAAACGCAGAAGCAGACTCTGGCCGCGCGCGATGAGAGCATCAAGAAGCTGCTGGAGATGCTGCAGAACAAGGGCGTCGGTGAGTGAACCCCCCAGGGCGGCCGCGCCGCTTGCGTCCCCGCCCCACGCCTCGCGCCTGCGCCAGCGATCGCGATCCCTCCCTGCTCTGCCCCGGCGTCTTTCACCTCCACCTTTCTGCCTCCTCACTCTTCCTTA